ATTAATTAATCACTTAGCAAAAATTTATAATACAAATAAACATAACAGATAATACATATATACGTACGTACCTATATCTGATACGTATATTACAAAATTACTGTTAGATTTACGTCGTGAAAAAAAAAATTATATGTATACAGTATTACGTATACTGTAGTTTGAGATGCAAGTCTTTTTGTACTAAATCATAGCAATTATACGTAAAACCAAAAAAAAACTTTTTTTTTAGTGAAGATCTTATGTTTATAAATATATATCTGGTATTCTTAATTGTCATGTTTAGAAATTTAGTAAACTAAAAAAGTCTCGCATGACAGATTATCAAATAAACTAATTTAAGTCCATACAAAGTTAACTAATTAGTTCTCATAATCCGGCCAGGCCAATTTTAAAGAAAATTTTGTTTTTTATATTTTTTAGATAAGACAATTTTATGGGTAATTAAAATTAGGTTAGCGGGTCGCGTACAGTAGATTTTTTTTTTTCAATGTTGGTAATTTTATCATGTGATCTAATGTAGTTCGAACTTTGTAATATATATGCTTATTCCACGCATGATGCCCCGCACAAACGGCACAATACTAAATTCCCGCACAGAAATACTTTGCGTTCGTACCATTATTTAAGAGGGTACGTACAATCACCGTACAAAGTGTACGTACATTATTTTAAGCTGTTTTTTTTGAAACGTTGGTAATACCAAGTAAAGTTATTTTTCCTTCTCTTTTTGTGTGACTTATTTCATCACCTTTTTCCAACGTTGTTTTTCGCCACTTTCCCTCCCCTCCTCCCTTTCAATATATGCTTTATATTTAAATAATTGATGTAAATCACACAAACAATAAGAAACAATAACGCAGAATAAATTTCATTATAATCAAATTTGGTAGCTTCTGCCTTTTCAATCTCCGCACACCGGCTACGACGATTTTTACTCGGCATAGTAAGGCCAACCGGTGAAAGGCATCAGCTATATTTACAAGCTAAACACATTTCCCTCTTTTATAATATTTTGTGTTAACTTTCTTTTGTAAGCGGATATACTTATCCAACATACTGCACTAAAATGGATCAAGTTAGCCCGTCAAAAATGGACGGGCAGCCTCCCTCCGATGAACAAAAGGAAACTGAAAAGGTTAGTAAATATTAACAAAAGGTTACTTAGGTTTCGTCTACTTTTCTATCGTTTCGCCTTTCAATATTTGTTATATAGGCTATTAGCATTAAATTAAAAATATTAAAATTTTTTCTTTGTCTTTTTTTTTCCTTCTCTTTTTTAATGTTCATTTAATCAATTTTGTTAACGATAATTGCGATCGTTTTTTGAGGATAATTTTTGGTTATATGAGTTCTAATTACCATTTATTATTTGTTATTTGTTAGTTGGCGGATAATGAACAATCTTCTCTCAAAGCTCAACTGGAACAAATGTTTCCACCTTTTGATAAAGGGAGAATTGCTTCCAAAGACTTGTTCAAGATAATCGAAGCTTTCGAGTCTGAGCAAAAAACCATTTTGTTGAAAGAGGAAGACCGGTCTTCTCTTCAATTGTTCTGTGAACAAAATCCTGATATGGAGATTTCCGTTGATGATGTTCTTCAACTTGTGACTAAGCTTAAGCCTCAACAGACTGTTACAGCATCTTCGTCCTCTAGTACTAATGTTGTTTCGGAACAGCCAACCAAAAGTAAGATCAAATATGGTTCTATAAGATCTGCTTGGCCCATAAATCGTCCTTCACCACGTAATCATAAAAGTAGAGAAGGCTTATCATCAGTCTATCCTGAAGTAGATGTGAGTTCTTACTAAACTTAGTAAATAAATACATATTACTCTATTTACTTTATTTAGTAATAAAATTTATATTATTCATATTGGAAAGGGGGAAGAGTCTTATGGTTCTTCAAGTACTAGTACAACCACTCGTTCCAGAAGAATGTCGTCCGGATATTATGATTCTCCTAGCGGCGTGCTAGGCTCTAGTTTTTCAAAACTACATTATGATGCATCCGATGATCATGAAATGTCATTCGAGGGAAGTGGCGGATTTGATGAAACAGTTTCCTCACTATTACCCGTAAGACATATATATATATTTATATAACTTCTACAATTACTATTATTTTATTTTAAATCACTAAATTCGTTCCTTGTAAATAGACAACCGATGATCCTGCTGTCCAACTCAGCAGATTATACCGTCACACAGTTGATCTTACAAAACGACTTAAAGAATCTGAACGTCATTTAGCTTCTGTTGCTCGTCAACATGAAGACCGTATTGAGGAACTTCAGCATAAGCTGGAAGAAACAAAAGCGGATCTTGTGGCTAAAAAGCGCGAAATTCAAGACCATAAAAACAAAGAGAAAACAAACCTACATCAAATTTCTGCTGTACGATTAATATTTACTTTAATATTTATATAGATTTTTTTTTTCCAATTCAATATTTAATATCATATTTTTTAGTTGGAAGGTGAAGTGCAGAGAATTGCAAAGGACTTATCTGGCCAAAGTCAGCTATATCATCAATTAAAAAGACAATATGAAGAACAACGCGGTACCTACTATGAATGTGAATATTGCACTACTTTGTGTGTTGTTTTAATAACTTTTTATTGCATTAATTACAGAGGAAGCGGAGAAACTCAAGGATCTTGTAAAGATCAAAGAGGAAGAGTTACATAGTACACAACGAAATCTCAATGTCATGTCTTCTGAAGAAAAAAAGGTATAAATTATTTAATTCGTTATTTAATTTAAAGTAATTTTAGTAAATTATTTTTACTAATAGTGGTTTGACGAGCGCGAACGTCTGGAACATGCAGTATTTAAATTGGAGCAAGACTTGACTTCCGCACAAGCTTCAGAGCTCGAACTCGAGGAGCAGAGAAATGAAAACATGCACCTCAAAGAGACTATTGATAAACTGAAGCTCGACTTGGATGAAATACGGAGCGGAAGAGCTAACAAAAGATATCCTTTAATATATATATTTATTTATTTATTTATTTATTTTTGTAATACGTAATGGGAAAGACCAGATTAAAAGATTGCTTTATAATCCTTAACAAAAACTTACTGAATTTGATGTGGTGGACGAAGTTGGTTCTGGCAAGGTAGTCTAACTATTCATTTTTATTTATTTGTTTATTTAAATTATTCATTTTTAAAATGGCTAACGAACAATTCTTTAGAATTTACGTGCTGAGTTAACTGACACTGCTCTTGCCTCAATAACTGAGGAGCAACAAGGTTCCGATTCAAACACAGACGAACTTAGACGATCGAACAAGGTGAATATCCTTCAGTTTCTATTTACTTAAATAAATAAATGTATATTTTTATTTTATTTTATTTATTATTTATATTTACATACCTAGGAACTTCAGCTACGTAAAACTAATGACGATGAATCTTCACACTCGCGACCTGGTGAAATAGAAAGATCTAGAGGCGCTGATGATCATGCTCGAAGACCAAACAGTCAAAGACCAGTTCGTCGACAAGTAACAGATTCGGGCAACGTTTCACGTAACTCCACAGGCAATAGAGATGTAGAATCTCAATATCAAATATTGTCATCTGAACTTGGAGTGCAATACGCATTGATTGAAGGAATTTTAAGAAATCGAGATTTACCTTCTCCACACGATAGGCGAGGACAGATACGTAACAGTCTGGATGGCGATAGTGCTGATTTAACCAGAAGATTATCGCGTCAATCGTCGTCTCGCAAAAATAGACGGAAAGGTTAGTTTAAAAGTTTCATCAAATCCTGAAACATGTGCACGCCAATTTATAACATTATTTTAATTAATTTCCTGTTTCGTCGCATAGCAAACCATGTGTCGGAAACTGAGGTATAAATCTAATTTATTAAAATATAATCCTTTAATGTCATAACCGACTTTATATTTAATAATTATGTATTGTTTTATAATCACAGCCACCTTCAGAAAGAGCTGACGCTCAAAACACTCAATCATCCAGAGCTCTTGTTTCACGAAATAGTGATATGAATGTCGCTCAACGCAGTAATGCCATGGTCAATAACACTGTAACCCTTGCATTATATACTTTGGTCATTTACTTCTTTGGCATCATTACGTCTGTGTTTGTCCTTGATAATAATCAAGGTCCAGCATATAGCGATTGGTTACCTTATGAGGTCGTTAAGGATGATAGTTGGACCGCACGTTCAATGGAAATCATCTTATACTGGGTTGAAAACCTATTAAACGATGGAAATATGCGAGTTCCTACGTAATCGAAGCTAAACTAAGATTTTAGTTTTTAAATAACGTCGATGAACTAAAATGTTCAAATCGTGCTTTATATATTGTGTTAAACTTTCGAATGTACTTCCTTTCTTAATTATTACTGAGTTATCTGCACTTTTAATTTCTTTGTATTATAATGTTGGGCTTTGTTCCCTTTGCATCTGTTCGTCGTTTATTTACTTCATCTCTTTGTTTTTGAAAAATGCAACTATCATTTTAAATTTTGGGTTATATATTTGAATTTTTCTTATTTAGAATTATCATGTTTTAAAGACAAATATTATATATTGCAAAAAACAATATTCAAAGAAAAAAATTGCTTTTGGATTAAATTGGCCAATTTTTAAAATGATAATAGTTGATAATCTTAGTGTAAAATAATTGTTTTCATAGACGTACCAAAGGAAACAATGTCACAATTATCTCAAATAATTTTATATAAAGTATACTATTTATTGTTTTTAGGATCACTTCATATAATAAACGCTTTACAATCTTATATATATATATACATATATACACGCACACATATATATATATATTAAACTAAAATTAAAAATCATGAAATCTAATCGATGATGCATAGCTCATAGAGCAAGCAATGACGATAATAAAGTTCAATAAAGGAATAAAACAATATTCTCTTTTACCAAATAACAATTGAAAAATCCAACATGATATAACATTAATAAACAATTTGTTTATTGACAAGTCTTAACCGTGACCACGATCACTGGAGGATCTTTCAGAACTGCGGCTAGTTGTAAACGAAACGAAAAAAAAAATAAATAACCGTATAAAAAACATTGCCATGCGGTAATTATACAGAAGTTGCTTACGAAAGTCTTCGGTCACCGCTATGTCGCCTTTCACTTCTTTCTTCGTCAGAGTATCTTCTATAATATCGATCATCACGATCTCTACTGTCACGATCACGATCCCTTCTTGGTGTTACCGATCGCCTTGGTGAACGAGAACGAGAGCGAGACCTGTTGGATACAAAGCGTTCCTGAAGTTAAAAAAATTCTATCCAAAGGTAGCTATTTGGTTCGAATAATAACCTAAGCTTTTGAAAACTTCGAAGAGGTGAAATAATACATATACTGTAGTGCACTGACTAAAAGACCGGGTCTAATACAAAATACCCAACAAAAAACTTACAAAAGACCCGGATATATTATGCTGTGGTGGGTCTGTGTCGCAAGAAATTCAAATACATACATACTCCGCATCTATAATAAGCAGTCTAAAAATTTTAAAAAAATCCACATTTAATTAAGAGACCCCGTGTTTTGCATCAGGGTATTTTGCACGGGGATATTGAAAAGGGATGGTATTTTAGTCAGTGCACTACGGTAATAATATGAAATATGGAAATAGAACGGCGGAATAGAAAGGTGACGGTGAATCTTTGACACGGTTATCGTCACTTCGACATTGAATGTTCGCGGGTTTCAGAAACGGAAAACGGTTATAACGGTTCCATATTAATTTTAATGGTTTGGTTTGGTCGGATGAGTATAATATCGTTGCTATTGGATTGGAGGTCTCTGAATAGACATATATGTTCCTCCTTGATTACTCAATTCAGGTTCTTCAAAGCCAAGTAATTCTTGTAGATTATAATACGGACACACGGCTTTGCGGATATTTTAGTAAATTTGAGGAATTCGATTAAAGAGACAAAAACTGCATTTGATACGACTAATGGCAGTAATGGACTCGGGACTTTCCAATGGTTTTTGCTAACATAACAAATTAAAGGTCTCTCAAACCCAACAATCGTCTTTCTTGGAAGCAATAAAAACAAGAAAATTTCAATAATGAACAACTTTGATGACACAAACCTTCTTCTTGGACTCCGGCTCCTACGTCTATCCCTACGAGATGATGAACGGCAGTCCTTTGCCCAATGGCCTAAAGTGTTGAATAAATTAATGATCTAAGAAATGCAAAAGAAAAAAATTTTTTTAAAAGATTTATTTTCTTGCCTTCTCTCCCGCATTTAAAGCATTGGTTTTCGGCTTATTTTCAAAATTGAATGATATACCAATTAAAACCACTAGCATATAAGTATTATTGAAATCCTAATAAAGGACAAGATCGAAAAACAAGTATACCCGGCTTTTTTCCACCATTTTTTGCCCATTCTACAACAATTCTATTCCCGCGCACTCGCTAGATAATCATCCGGAATAAATGTGAATGAACACGAAACAAGAAGACTCTCTCTCCCTTTTAACAGTTTGCTGACGAATCTTTCTTTCACGTCGCAAATACACACCAGACCGTCAGTCTCCTTCATAGCATCAGAGGCATCTCTTTCGTCCTGATATTCGACAAAGGCGTAACCTCTCTTGACTTCTAAACGATTTAGCCGCCCATATTTATCAAAGATGTGTTCGAGATCTCGCGGGTGGGTGTCTAAGGCTAGCCTGATGTATACAGTAGCAATTAATACGAGTTAGTGAACTACTAATAACGATGTAAAATTCATACCTTCCAATAAAAAGTGCCATTTTTTGAGATGATAAACAACTGATTAATATAATATAGAGAGAAGTGAGATGAAAACTATTTCGATGTTAACTGTTTCTTGAGTAATAATAGCACTAGGGCTCATAAATTTAGGACAGTCACCCCAGTATCACCAGTATCACAAACTGGCCAGGATTCTTGTCTAGCACGTGATGAAATTCCTATCCTGTCCGAAAAAAATTTTGTTCACAATCTTCTGTATCGATATATTCTTACGTATCGTAACGATAATTTCAAATCTTTATTTTTCCTCGTATTGAAGAGATTAGATTTGCTCTCTCTCTTGTGGAGAACTATAGACTTCGTATTGTTAATATATAACTCTAATATCGAAATTCTTTGGTGAAATTTTTTGTTAAAAACTTTTTTCAGACACCCGTGAATATTTTCACACGATAACGATATCAGATATGATAGGGTGAGCCAATAGAAATCAAGCAGTTTTTTTTGTATAATAAAAACCCGTGCGATGCATGGAAAAATTTAATATAAAAGATTAGGTTTGCTTTAAACCCGAAGTAAGTTTACTTTGAACCCGAAGTGGATTCACTTTGAACCTGAAGTGGGTTCGCTTTGAACTCGAAGTGGGTTTGTTTTAACTCGAAGTGGGTTCACTTTTAACCCAAAGTGGATTTATTTTGAATTTTTTTAAAATTTATTAAAATATCTTGAACTTCATATGGGCCGATTTTTGGAATTTATAAGTGCTTATTTTTTAAAAACTTCAAAGCTTTGATCTACTGGCTTTTTAAATAATTTTATTACCACAATGTTCTTCTCTTTGAGACGATTCCAACGAGCCCAAAATCATCAAAATCCAATTACGGGATCGCGAGATAATGCGCCGTCAAATAGTGACGCACCTAGAGAGTCACTATTTGACGGCGCATTATCTCGCGATCCTGTGATTGGATTTTGATGATTTTGGGCTCGTTGGAATCGTCTCAAAGAGAAGAACGTTGTGGTAATAAAATTATTTAAAAAGCCAGTAGATCAAAACCGAGTGTAATTACTGAATTACAATAAAAGTACAATTAGCTATATGTATAACTTTTAATTATTTACTGTATTTATAAGTTTTTTAAGAATTTTATATCATTTTTAGTTCTAATTTATCTTTTAATTAGAGTTGTTAATAGAGTATTATACTTCAAAGTAATTTAGAAGTATAAACTACTCTATAGTTTGTATACAGCATTATATTATTTTAGATTGCTATAGAAATAAAATAAATTGATTTATACTTTTAAGCTATTTTTTTTTTTTAGCTCTTTGATGGTCTTGTCAAAAACTCAAATATAAAAACTTTATTTAATTAATAACAAAATATTATTATTATTATTTTTTTTAATTCTTTGATAGTCTTGTCAGTGCTCAAATACAAATTATATTACTATTAGACTAAAAACAAAGTTTTAAAATTTCTAATAATATCTAATAACAAAATATTATTATTAAACAAATTGTTTTTTTTTTAAATTGCAAATCTAATATTTTTTGGCTATAATAAAATATATTTAAAAACAACCTGTTGTATTGACTTATATATAAGTTGGAAAATTTTTTTTTTTATATTAAGCGATCCTGCTTCTATTTATTTTAAGAACTACTATTCAATTATTACATATTAAGTAACCATTGAGATAGTCTATCACTCTATTCTAATAGAAACTTACCAAGCATACAAATAACAACTATTAGTCTCACGGCGGGATCCGAAACTTGCTTCAGATTTTGTATCGACAAAGGATACCTCCCTCGATTATTTGACAGGTTGTTGTACACCACGTTAGAATCTCTTTTTTTCCTTCTAATTCTTCCTTCTTCTCAAGGGGCATGAGACAAAAGGGGAAAATTTTCAACAAGGAGTAATGAAAACGACCAGAAAAAAGAAAAAACAAAAAAGAAAAAAGAAACACTGATTACGAAAAAGAAAAAACATAAAAAGAAATCTAAAACCCTGAAGGCACTATTATAACCCGTGCATGGCTGATAAAAATTATATAACAAATGCAACATTTGTATATCTCTATTGTAAAGCTTCGCCTTAATATTTAATTTACTTTCCGACCTTCTCACCAACTCCGGGTGCTTCGTTGCCTGTCCTAATTTGTATCTCGAGCCAGGTGCTGCCGTCGTCCGAGGACCTGTATCTCAAGCCACTGCTGCTATAATTAGAGTTCCCAGGCCGAGTTCCATGAAAAAGCACCATATTCGTCTGTAAACAAACACATAGTTGCATTCTGCTAATCTGTCCGAATTTGGAAAATAAACAATGCCAATCTTTTGGAGGGGGTAAGCCAAATCCCTACTTTTTGTTGAATTTTTTTGAAAGACCGACGGAAGAGAGAGAGAGAGTAAAGAGGTACCACTTGACCAAGTAAAAAAAGTGCGGCTTAAAGAAAATAACAGAATATTTTGCTGTTCCCCAGTGTCTTCAAGAAGTATGACCTAAGAGCTTCATCGACGAAGAAAGAGGAGTGTCCACAGAGTAAGAGTTCTCTTCTCCACCAAGATTTTTTATACAAGGGCGCCCCTTGCCAATTACTTTTATAATAATGCTCTTGGCTTGTATGCTAAATATCACCTGTAGAGGAGTCCTGTTAGACAGTACGTTGACCTCTAGACAAACCATTGCGTTAGGCCACGACTCTTCAACAAAATTTGTAGTTTTCTTCTGTAAGAATTTTGGACCGAGTGATCATCAGAAAGAGTTATAAATTTTCTTTTTGAGTAGATTAATTTGATTAATACTATTAATAAATTAAAAATAATAAATATAAATAAATTTTACCTTAAATTCAACAAGATCTGATTCTAAAAAATATTCTCTTTGGCTAATAAATACATCTTATTTCAACAGTAATAAACATCAACTAATACATGATCATATCGTTTTGCTACACTTTCTTCAATTGATATTTTATGATATTTTATAATAATTCCTTCAACAACAAAAAGAAACACCTTCATCATATTGCAAAATTCATCAGCTATAGAGCATTTGATATTTCCAAGACCTTTATTAAACACTTTAAGTTCAGAAAATCTTGAAACTTTTGCTAACCACTTGTCAAGTTTATCAATTCCTATTTTTCCACAAGTATTATTTAATAAGTCACAAGTGTACTCCACTTGGTATTTAAACAAGCCTAGGTCTAAGTGATGCATCTTATCCAGAATTGTAGCTAGATAAATATTTAATTGGCTAATATTTATTAAATAAATATAGTATTATACGTAGGGTTCCACAATTTGATTTGATTTGATTTGATTTGATCAAATACTTGATCTTAAATCAAATTCAAATACAGAAATTTCAAATCAAATCAAATTCAAATTGACAAAATATTTGATTCGATTTGAAAATACTTAATAAAAATTACAAATAAATTTGATTTGATTTGAATTTGATTTGATCAAATCAAATTCAAATCAAGAGATTATTCAATTCGATCAAATTCAAATATGTAAATATTCAATTCGATTTGACTTTGAAGAACCCTAATTATATATATATATTATAAAATTTAAAGTTACATTAAAAAATATATATACTTACGAATATTTCCAGAATATGTTTTCCATATTGTATATAGAATACTGTTTTGTAAGACCTTGATTTATAATAATTTTCATTTGTTCGGAGGTTCTTGAATTAATTTGGTTATCGTTTAATTTAATATTATTTATTTTGTCAACTGATACTATATATTTGTGACATGGATATTTATAATTGACAGAATTATATATTAATGTTAACAATGAATGTTCTAGAATGTCATCTAAAAAAACTGAAACAAATAGGTAATACCATATATTTCCATTATTTGTCTGAAGATCAAACTCATTGTCCTTATAATCAAGTATTTGTTTTAAAATTATATCCCAAGAATGTTGGTATACAAACCATTTTGCAAATAAAAAATCGCTAGAACTTTTTTGTATAACTGTTTTTGGTTTTATTATAGGAAGATAAGCAAGAAGAGCTTTAGCGTTAGGTTTATTCCTCCTCCAACTAGGAATATTACCTAATGTCAGATAAACGGGATGTTTATTCGTTTTTCTGAGCTGATCACATGTTGCATCAGAATACAGTATTATCAATAGAACTTTTGCTTGGCTAGGAATTGTTTTTAGTACTTTTTCCCACCATTCTCCATTAAACTATTCATTATATATTTGTTGTTTATTATAGTACAATGGTGTAAATTCGAAAACACAATAATTAAGTATGTCCTTATTAGTTAATAATTCCTTAATACAGTCAAAAATTGGACGGTAATTTAAATAATATATTTCTCCTTTATATTCCATTATTGGTACTTTCTTAAAAGAAATGTATAGAACCATAATTTTATCTAAAAGTTGCTTCCCTTGTTGAATTGAAGTAGGCAAGATTGTGTTATCACATGATACTTTGTTTAAAAAACATAGTATGTTACCACCACAAGTATTAGACAAATTCCATTTAATAATTAATTTCATAAATTCACCAAATTCTTCACTCAGAAAATTTGATATATTCTTAGTGTTTATCGATCTAATATCAAGAGACTCGAAAACTAATGAATGTTCAACTTCAAACAATTGGCATTCTACAATGTTTATCTAAGTATATACGTATGTATAATTATAGATTGTGTTATATCTCTTAAAATATATTAATATATATTATAGCATATATGTAAATATATATATATGTATATATATATATATACATATTAGAGTTGTTGGCGAAACTTTTGAAGTCGCAGTGAAATTGGTGAAAATTCGTTGAATACTATAAAACTTAAATACATAGTGCAATAGCAAATAAACTTAGGCTGAAACTATAGTAAGCTTAAACTAAGCCTCACCCACAACTCTACTATATACAATGTATACCTCTTTCATTTCATTTATTTCATCTTCATCTGCTTGATTGTCTATTTCACTGTTTCTATTACTTCTTTCTTCGTCTATTTTCTCAATTCTATCA